CACACAGCACTGCTCCCAGGGCTGCCCGAGACTCAAACCCAAAGTTTGAATTCACATCCACACAGCACTCCTCCCAGGGCTGCCTGAGACTGAAATCCATCGTTTTAATTCAACTCCTGCAGCACAAATAGGGGTAAGTGAGTAAAAGATCTGACTGACTCCAAAAGAGGAGGCAGGATGTTTAAGCAGCAGCTGAGGCTGAAAGCAGCATTGCTCTGTATTTTCTCAAAATATTTCAGGGTAATTATCAATATTTCCTTAAAGGAAGAAGCAAAGCAGTGCAGGGTGGTAAAAACCCCAGCAGGAATCTCCTGATGCAAACACAAATCTCAGCTACCTACGATTTCTGAGCGGCTCAAATGAACAGCATTAATGACCAACACAGAAAAGCCCTTTGTCTGCAGATCTTTTGCTCCACTTTGCTGCTGGTTCGCAGCCAGAGCCAACGCCACGGCCCTGGCACAGGGCACACGAGGAAACCCAACCCTGGGGAGCTGCTGACTCACGGTGTTCCCTGCGCGTGGCTGGACACGCTGCAGCTCCGGGGCAGCACCAGCACCCGGCCGGGCACAGGGAGAGCAGCGGGGACCGAGTGGCACCAGCGCCCTGGGCACACACCGGACCACAGACCACACAACCTCCACCCACACGTCAAACTGCACCAGGACAGAGAGGAGGGAGCAGCACGGGAGTCCATTAATGGGACTGGTGGGGTCTGGTGAGGGCAGTGGGACCTGTCTGGGCTGCACTGGTGGCTGGAGGTGACGTTGCCAGAGCAGAGCAGAGGATCCAGCCAGGAGAGCCCAGGGCTGCGCTGGCAGCGCTGCCAGGCGGGAGCAGGAGTCGGCACGAAACTCCTACAATGAGCAGCGTTCCCTCCTCGGGGATGCAGGAAAACAGGGAAGCAAGGTTAAAGCACGCCTTACTGATCAGAAATATTTATGTAAATGTCTCTGGAAGCAGGTGCAGCCCTCGGGCTGCTGACAAGCTGCCAGCAAGGCCTTTGGTGTCGCAAATCTTGAGCTCCCTTGAGCTAAAGAGTTTATTTCAAGGATTTTTTTTTTAGCCAAAATCTGACACCAGTGAGCCCCTGTCCTTTTGTGTCTGACTCATCCGCAGGCAGAAAGGATCCACACTGCCAACCCCTCCCCAGCAAGGGGACTGGAGGGTCCCTGAGTCACCTCTTAGGATAGAAACACTTCCACTGGGTGATAAAGTTCTGTCTCCTGCTCACTTTGTACTCACACCTTGCATACAAACCAAAGACATCCTTTGCAAGAAACCCCCTCGAGCTCCATGTTTTCCCATATGAAGGAAGTTCACCCACGTTCAGTCACAGACACATGTCAGGGATGAGTGACCAGCACACCGTGTGCTCAGACACATGTGAGGTTCATTCCTTCAGCAGAGCAGCTCCTGCAGGCCCAGACACAGAAAGAAGCCAAGGCTCAGGGCATCCCCTTGGGCTACGAGGACAGCTGAACCCAAAGGTGCACCCCAGAATTATGTGTGATTTCCACTCATTCTTGACACTCTTATCAAGGGGACTGAGGACAAGACAAACCAAGTGAGTGAACCAGCTCTGAGAACCCTGCAGGGGTCTGAACCACAGGCCAGGCACGAAGGGACCAGGAATCCCACCCTGCCCACACCACTCTGTGTGCCATCGTGCCCTCATGGTGAGAGCAGGGACCTCAGCTCCCTGGCCATGCCACCCAGACAGCGACAGCAACCCCAGCAGCCATGGGACAGAACAGCAAATCCTGTCCTAGGAGGACACAGAAACAGGGTCAGCACTCCTGACCGGTGGCCTGGTGCTATTTTAAGGCCCTGACGGTCCAGGAATACACAGCACCAAGGCACTCTTGACTTTGTTACCTAATAATCTGCTGCGTTTAAATATATCTCCTCCCTTTTGCCTGCCCTGGAAACACCCCCCAGCCGTCCCAGCCAGGGCTGCAGACACAGAGAGCAGTGTGGGGCAGAGCCACACGTGCCCCCACGCCCCAGGGCAGTGCTGGAGGAACAGGCCTTAAGGGATGTCAGTGCCCTTCTAATGCTCCTATTTTTCACTAGGGACACTGTCAGTACTCAGAATTTATCAAGGGTGTGTGCCTTTGCATAGCCTATCATCCCACTTCTGTGCTCAGGGTGTGCTCAGTGGTCCCTCCCCAGCACATGGACATCCCTAACTCTGGAACAGGGAGGCACTGGCAGCTCTTTGGGGTCATTTTCTGAATGCTCTGAGCTGTTTTTCTGAACCACTCAATGCTTCTGGGAGCTTATTCTGCACACCCTGAACAGCTCCATCCCCAGAGAGGAGTGGCCTGGGTGTCACTGACACAGGATCTGGAGCAGGGTCACTGCAGCAGCCACCCCAGGTTCCTACCAGGAAAGTGCTTGGAACAAAAGGAATCTCCAGGTATTCCCTCCTCCCAAGGCCAGCCTGGAGTGGGACAGCCGTGCCAAGAGGAAGGGCAGGCTGGAGCCTGAGGGTTGGTTTCTGTTTCTGCAGGTCCCTGGCTCTGCAGAGGAGAACCAGGAAAGGGAAGATAAGAACAGTCAGCAGAACTGGAGCTCAGCAAAGCTCAGCCTGAGCCAGGCAAGCTCTGAGTCATAGTGAATGCTGCTGACACCAGAGGCTGCAGCAACCAGCCCTGGGTGCTTCCAGGCCCAGGAACACGCTGCAGGACTGAGAACCCCTTTGAAATCGGGACCCCTTTCTCTGAGCCCCTCTGAATCCTGGACGACAACAGCACAACACAAGCCCCACTTTTCTCTACCATCTTTGCTAAAGTCCCACTGTTTGGTGTCCCTTTGCACCGCTGCTTTATGGAGACAGGTGGCTTACAAGGAAACATTTACTTTCAAACAAAGCCACCGCAGCTCCTGGAATGCAGCAGGGAAAGACCCTCAAGAAATCTTGTAGTTCATCTCCCAAGCCCCAAAGAGGAATCAACCATCACCAAACAAATACCTGGCAGACGTTTCTCACATTAACAGCTTTTCCAGTCCCTATGGATAATTTACATTGTGCTTTAATATGCTGTTCCAGTGCTTAACTGAAACCCTGAATCAGCTCCAGAGAGTCATTTTAGCTGTATTTTAGTTATAACTAACTCTTAGTGGACAAAAGAAAGAAATAAAGGGCCAGGATTTAGCTGCACTACAAAGGAAAAGAAAACAGATCAAAACTGCTAAAAAACCCAAAACCATCATGGAGAGTCTTATCTGTGCACAGACACCCCAGGGCCAGCAGGTGC